AACTGAACTAGAACTGAACTAGAACTGAACTAGAACTGAACTAGAACTGAACTAGAACTGAACTAGAACTGAACTAGAACTGAACTAGAACTGAACTAGAACTGAACTAGAACTGAACTAGAACTGAACTAGAACTGAACTAGAACTGAACTAGAACTGAACTAGAACTGAACTAGAACTGAACTAGAACTGAACTAGAACTGAACTAGAACTGAACTAGAACTGAACTAGAACTGAACTAGAACTGAACTAGAACTGACTAGAACTGAACTGAACTGAACTCAGAACTGAACTAAAAGAACAGACTGAACTAGAACTGAACTAGAACTGAACTAGAACTGAACTAGAACTGAACTAGAACTGAACTACTGAACTAGAACTGAACTAGAACTGAACTAGAACTGAACTAGAACTGAACTAGAACTGAACTAGAACTGAACTAGAACTGAACTAGAACTGAACTAGAACTGAACTAGAACTGAACTAAACTGAACTAAAACTGAACTAGAACTGAACTAGAACTAGAACTGAACTAGAACTGAACTAGAACTGAACTAGAACTGAACTAGAACTGAACTCGAACTGAACTAGAACTGAACTAGAACTGAACTAGAACTGAACTAGAACTGAACTAGAACTGAACTAGAACTGAACTAGAACTGAACTAGAACTGAACTAGAACTGAACTAGAACTGAACTAGAACTGAACTAGAACTGAACTAGAACTGAACTAGAACTGAACTAGAACTGAACTAGAACTGAACTAGATCTGAACTAGAACTGAACTAGAACTGAACTAGAACTGAACTAGAACTGAACTAGAACTAGAACTGAACTAGAACTGAACTGGAACTGAACTAGAACTGAACTAGAACTGAACTAGAACTGAACTAGAACTGAACCCAGAAAAACTGAATGTTTTTTGGTTTAAAAAATGTGTTTCTTTTCACTTAAATGCTCCACATTTGCTCTTTACTGTTTTAATTTACATCAACCAACATGGGTCTTCGATAAGACCTTTAAGCTTAACACGAACATACATATATTTAACATGCTCCTATACTCTAAACAAATGGCAAAAATTAATTAATAAACAAAATAAAAAAACCATAAACATAAAATAAACAGTATAATTGTTAGTTTAATGCAATAATAAAATAAACAAATATTTAACCGGGCCGGAAATAGCAAAAAAGTAGAAAAACAAAAAACCATAAAAAGTACTGCCACAGACAACAAATAAATTAAATAAAGCATAAGCAAAAGTTAAAGAAATAATAAAAAGAAAGTAAATATATAGACCACCCACCCCATAAGAAAATGAGGAAGAACGTAAATCCAAGGGGAGTGTAGTAGGCAAAGTTGTTTCTAAAATAGTGCAGTAGTAACATAGTATCCATAGAAAGTATAAAAAATAAAATAAAAAAGAAATTGTGAATAAATATGAATATCCTCTAATTCTCACAAGTATAGATCTTGTATACCCACCCCCCAAATTGGGTGTAGAGCTGACATGTAAAAGTGATAAAGCTATTTCAGCTCCACTCAATGCACAACAAGTATGACACTGCATTTGATGTTTTTTACATATTTGACATTGCAAGCGATTGTGATGACAGTACTTGTGCGGATTGCCCTTCTTGCGATGATGATGCCAATTTTCATCACCGCCACCAGCAGCAGACATCAGTTTTTCGATACGATTTCCCATAATTACTTCTACTACCGGTTTTTCTTGTATTTGCAGTATATGTTCAACCTTTTCGGTACTTGAGAACTAGTGTTCCGTTTTAATTATAATTATATTTGGCAATTTATCAAATATTTGTTTGATTTTTTCTTTTAGCTTGTTTTTTTCGACTTTGTATACCAAAACAAAATAAAATGAAATGACTAGACTAAAAATAGATTTTAATTACAAATTTAGCAATAAGTATGCAAATGTCTTTATAGGTCAGCAGCTGTAGTATTTTGCAAATTTGCAAGAAAATTTAATGAAACAAATGACACGAGATTTATAGAAAAGAAAACCTTAACTTTCGTTTTTTAAAGGATGCTAAAATATGAGGTGATGTCTATTTGTATTACTTATTTGAAATATGCTGCAGCTGTGTTATTTTGCTAGTTGTTTAGTAATAATATAAATTTTACTAAGCATATTTAATTATAATTCTTGAGTTATAAAAAATTACAAAAAATAATAAAAAGTTTCTATGGAAACTTCCCTTTTACGACAAGTTTTCGATATTTCGGATATCCTTTTACCACAATTTATTTAAAAAATACTTTTCAATTTTGTTATTTTTTTTAATATTTAAAAAAATAAGAATTGTTAATTTTTTATTTAACTAGAACTGCACTAGAATTGAACTATGACCTAAAACTAAATTAGATCTGAACTAGAACTGAACTAGAACAGAACTAGAACAGAACTAGTATTGAACAAGAATTGAACTATGTAGTACTGAACAAGAACTGAACTAGAACTGAACTGGAACAGAACTAGAACTGAACTAGAACTGAACTAGAACTGAACTAGAACTGAACTAGAACTGAACTAGAACTGAACTAGAACTGAACTAGAACTGAACTAGAACTGAACTAGAACTGAACTAGAACTGAACTAGAACTGAACTAGAACTGAACTAGAACTGAACTAGAACTGAACTAGAACTGAACTAGAACTGAACTAGAACTGAACTAGAACTGAACTAGAACTGAACTAGAACTGAACTAGAACTGAACTAGAACTGAACTAGAACTGAACTAGAACTGAACTAGAACTGAACTAGAACTGAACTAGAACTGAACTAGAACTGAACTAGAACTGAACTAGAACTGAACTAGAACTGAACTAGAACCGACGAACTAGAACTGAACTAGAACTAGAACTAAACTAGCACTGAACTAGAACTAAACTAGAACTGAACTAGAACTGAACTAGAACTGAACTAGAACTGAACTAGAACTGAACTAGAACTGAACTAGAACTGAACTAGAACTGAACTAGAACTGAACTAGAACTGAACTAGAACTGAACTAGAACTGAACTAGAACTGAACTAGAACTGAACTAGAACTGAACTAGAACTGAACTAGAACTGAACTAGAACTGAACTAGAACTGAACTAGCACTGAACTAGAACTGAACTAGAACTGAACTAGAACTGAACTAAAACTGAACTACAACTGAACTACAACTGAACTACAACTGAACTATAACTGATCTACAACTGAACTTGAACTGTGTATAACTTTTAGAATTACGGCATTAGACATCGGTGTTATACCTATGATAGAGTTTTTAATTAGAAAGGATGATACACATCCCGATGAGCTGTATGGGATGTGTATCATCCTTTCTAATTACTGTTAACGGAACAGTCGATATTAAAGCAGCACTTAGAGCATTGACATGTTATACGGTGCATTCTTTCGTAGATGTAGTATTTAGAAATGCTCTAAATATAAGGCTGTTAACAATAAGTGTTGGGTATCAGGACTGCAATGCACAGGGTGCCTCTTTACCCTAAGAAACTAGCAAAAATAGGTTCGAATCTTGACATGAATATCAATGTGCTTTACGTGAGTACCTTCCTCGATGGCTTAAACTTACGGTAACCTTTAACATCCACTGAGTGGATTATAGGCAGTCCACCACTCGCATCTGAGCGATTTCTATGAAGACTTAAAAGGGACAGGAATTTGATCTCTGAATGATTTCGTACTGAACTAGAACTGAACTAGAACTGAACTAGAACTGAACTACAACTGAACTACAACTGATCTACAACTGAACTACAACTGAATTTGAACTGTGGATAACTTTTAGAATTACGGCATTAGACTTCGGTGTTATACCTATGATAGAGTTTTTAATTAAAAATGATGATACCCATCCCGATGAGCTGTTTGGGATGTGTACTGTTAACGGAACAGTCGATATTAAGGCAGCACTGAGAGCATGGACATGTTATACGGTGCATTCTTTCGTAGATGTAGTATTTAGAATGCTCTAAATGTTAATATAAGGCTGTTAACAATAAGGCTGTGTTGGTTATCAGGACTGCAATGCACAGGGTGCCTCTTTACCCTAAGAAACTAGCAAAAATAGGTTCGAATCTGAGTGGATTATAGGCAGTCCACAACACGCATCTGAGCGATTTCTATGAAGACTTAAAAGGGACAGGAGGTTGATCTCTGAATGATTTCGTACTAATATCAATCAGTCCTGCGATTGCAAAGAATAAAAGGCATTATGGCCAAGATACATATTAGACTGGAGAGGTCTGGTCAAAGGACTCTGAAACTATTTATTTTCAGCTGTGACCTAATATAGGTTTGGAACCGTTTTAATGTAAAACCAAAATCCTTGCAACTACTAAAATCAGGATTTTATTTCAAAATATTTTTGGTAAATTGTATAGAAGCTTTTATATGAAATTTATATAGGTACATACATATGTATGTATTTACGTTTTTGTTACACATACCATACTTAGAACTCAAAAAGTCCTAGGAATTTCAATCAATTTTTTTACACTGCTTTAATATTACATCCCACTTAGGTATGTCTGGTTTCACTTTCATTACTGCTCAACTAACTGCTCTTTTTCTACCACATATACCTATTATGACTTTTTAACTTTAACTAAACTTGACATTGAAAATTTTGTCATGTAACAACAGCAGCCGCAGCATACAAAAGAACAAAAAAACCGAAATGTGTTTACAAGGGATACATAAAATATTTACAAAACGTTCTACTCAAGGCCATTTCTGTGGGGGCATAAAACAAAAAATCATAAATATTGATTTTTCTCCATATACACACAAAATTTACACATGCAAATCGTAAAGAAGGATCTACACCAAATAAGACTACATGACAAAATTGAAAAGATGTACCACAAAACATTACACATTAAACTACATACAAATAAATAAATTAGTAATATAAATGAATAATGTTTATAATTAGTCGAAAAAATTAAAAATTACATTGCCATCGTGACCAACAAAGAATCCAGGCCGCTGATGTGCGCGCTCAGTGCTGCCGCCGGTGTTTCCTACCACGGAGGCATGAGATTGCGAGGAAACGGCAGCTGCTTGTTGGTTGGATTGTTGACGTAAATCCTGATAACCTGATTCCAATTCAGTATAAGACATTTTTGCTTACAACTTCTTGTTCTACGTCGGCAATGTCGAACTTTGTTGTTGTTCCCGAGCTGGGTAAATGTGTCAGGGCTGCTTTAGCGGATGCTATTTCGAGGTGTGACTGCTGCAACAGACGTGTTGTCTTATTGCCGCTGCAGTTGCTGTTTTCGGTTGTTTGTTGTTTTTGTAGGTTAGTAATTGGTGCTTTTAGTAAAATTTTATTTGAATAATTTTGTAATGAATGCATTTAATGGTGAATTTTCCACAAAACATTCACAAATACACAAAAATTGTTAGACAAACTTAAGATTTTTAGTTGCTAAATGAAAACGTTTTGATATTCTAGTCTGGTTTGAAAATTTATATTGATTTTTCCACTGTTGAGGCACTCGGCTAGCCAGTCACCTTAAATTAGTACCAGCACTTTGATTTCAGCCACTAAATGATGACCTTCAATCTTTTATTGTTCAACTTTTTCAAACGTTTAACACGCACTTCTTTATTTGCTGGAAAATATTTAACTTTTGCAAAATAATTTATTTCGGCTTTATAATTATGTAATTCTTTGTTATTTTCTTTTACTTAACACTGCGCATTAATTTTTTTTGTCTATTTTTTGCTTAAATTAGTCAAAAAAGTTTCTGATTTTTCTTTTTCTTACGATTCCCCGTAAAATTTCACACGTCACTTTTGTCAAACGCCTTCAAGCAACTGATTGAGAAGAAGCACATTTATTTAGCAGCCCCAACAATGGGGATAAACAATAACAAATTCTGCAAACATATGTTTTTTTGTTGTTCCCCAACATTTGTGCAGACGTTGACTGTGCTGCAGATTTGTCAATTTGTTGTTGTTATTGGAGTTTTTGCGCAAAATCCATTAAAGTTGCCATATCAGCTGTCTTTTGTTTTGGTTTTCATTATTCGCTTTTACCGGCAATTTGTTGTTGTTTTGCTTTAAAATTTTGCAGAAATAATTTGTTTACTTTTGTTTTGTTTTTGTTTTTAGCTCGGCAAACGAGTGGTTAAAAAGAATAGTGCAAAAAATGTAAACAAATAACTGTTTGATTACATTTACAACTACAACTACTACGCGAAATTAAATTTAAAATATAAAAATTCTATTTTTTTTAAATTTTCTCTCCATATTTCAAATTAAAAAAAAAAATCTCTAATTATTAAAAATTTAAAATTTTATTAACGCATTGACAATTTAAAATTTTATTTAAATATTGAAACTTCTATAAAAATATAATTCTATAAATAAAAAAATCTAAAATTTAATTTTTTAGTAAAAATTTTATACCCGAAATTATGGAAATTTTTAATCAAAAACTAAAATTTCCAATAATATTTAAATAATGTTCAAACTGCTTTATTTTTTGTCCTAATAGTTTTAATTACTAATTAAAAAAATATAATATTTCGCCAAAATTTGTACTTTTAGTAAAAACTTAGATTATGAATTTGATTTTAAAATTCAAAATTTTTAAAGAATCATTTTAATTTTTGGGCAAATTTTGAAATTTTTAAAAAAAAATTTAATTTTTTAAAAAAGTATTTAATTTATTTGTAAAAATTATGAGATTTCGATTTGAAAAATTTAATTTTTTTCTGAGCGGAATGGAATTATTACTGAAAATATTTCAAGTTTGATCGAAAAAATATATTTTTGAAATAAATATTTTTAATTTAGATGAAAAATTTGGAGCGTTACTGTAATTAATTTCATTAAAACGGTTTAAGATATTTTTTCTAATTTAATTTTCCAAATTCTATAAATTTAACTTTGAAATTTAATTTTTAAAGTTTGTGCAGTATTTTCGCTTATAATATATGTATAAAGCCGCTGTTTAATTTCATTATTTCAGACGGCGTCATAAAATTTCATCGTCATAGAGTTCTTTTCCAACTGCTGATAGTAAAAGTAACAGCAACCTTTCTCGCTCGCTCTCATAGCCAATAAAGCCACACATCGAAATGCAACGTAGAAAAAACGTGGTCAAAATAAAACACCAAAAACAAATATAAATAAACACGATATAAACAAAGAAATTTTCTAATGAAAAGCAACAAGAAAACAAATAACGATATTGAAAAGGAATCCGAGTAAAAAGAAAATAATTTAACAAATTATTGTGAAATATACCATAAACAATTTGCTTGTCATTCTATTAATGTCAGCAGTGTTGAAAAGAGGAGCGAGCGACCGACCCGACCTGATCTCTTAGATATTATAGAAATCAATTAAATTTCGAAATAAGATGTCCCAAATAGATAATATTATCATACAAGTTAGAGCACGTTTACAATTGTTGGGCATTAAGTTATGGCTGGAACCATACTATTATGATGGTGTTGGCTGTGTGGAAGAGGAAATTGAGGTGGGTATAATGATTTTAATTGCAGTATATTGATTGATACCGATTTTGATTCTAATTTATAGAAATTGGCTAATAATTTTAGCCAGGACTTGGGCATGACAAAATCCAATTGTAAATTAGCTTTAACAGAATTACAGGAGGGGGCTCTACGTAAACTGGCGGCTCGTAAGGAATTTGAAGATACAGGTTAGTGGGAATAGTTTAAGACAGAAATCTAATTGGAGTAATAAGGTGAAGTAGATCACAGTTTAAATGAGTTAAAAATACTAGTGATAACATTTTAATAAGATAAAGTTAGTTATAGGAAGACACATTCTTACTTAAAAAACGACAGTATCTTATGAGAGTATCTATTTGCTCTTCTTTTCAAGGTCTTGCCACTTTTAGTGTTCGTCGCATTAACAACAAACAGGGTACACAAAGTATAATAGAAGTGAAATGTGCCCTCAAAGCTTTAGGCAGTGAATTACAAACCATTGTGGCGAAATCCTTGGACATAGTTGATCCCAGTCGTATAAAATGCATATCAGCGGGTAAAATTATAGATCCCGATAGATCGTTAGAAATACAAAATGTCAAAAATAATCAACAATTAATGGTGATCATTAGTGAAGTGGATAGAGGTGTCGAACAAAATCAAGAGGATGCCATGTACGATCGTATACGTAAAATAAAAATGGATGTTGAGTCTATAGTGGATTCAAGTCGACAATTATTTGAGGTATTTACCCGAAATTTTGTATAATATAAACATTTATTTTAATCATTTGATAATGCTAGATGGAAGATCAAGATGGCAATCCAGTATTTTTACCACCCGCCGAAAATCGTGCTTTATTAATGGCCTTGGGTTATTATGAAAAAGCACGTGCTGCCATGAAACGTGATCATTATGATGAGGCCTTGGTATTGCTGCTCGAAGCCGATGAGAAATTTATTACCTGTAATTCAAAGTTTTTGGAAGCCGTCGACAATTATGCTTTAGTTAATTTGGATATTGTTTGGTGTTATTTGTGCCTAAAGGTATGTTTTAGTTTTTTGTTTTTATTTAAAATATTATTTAACGTTTTTTCACTCAAAACATATTTAAACATTTTCGCGAGAATATTTGACCAACGACATTATAATTATACTCACTATTCATTTCATCTTTATTAATATTTTAACTTTGTTAAAGTAATATTTTGACAAAACTACCATATAATTTTAAATACAAATTTAGAAGAAGAATATTTCTAAAGTGTTCTAAAAATAGTGAAAAATTCGAAAATTGTCTAAAAATGGAACACTCAACATTTTTAAAAGAAAATTTGCAAAAATTTCTAAAAAATAGTGAATATTTAGAAAATTTGCTAAAATCAGATAATTTTATAAAATTTCGAGAATTTTGTAGTATCAGCGAAACAGACAATTCGATATAAACAGATAAAATTTCGTCAAAAAAGTGAAATAAAAATAGCGAAACAAAACATTAGAAAAATATAAGGATCATTAAGAGAGAGAGAGTGAGAGAGAAGGAAAAGAGAGAGGATTGAAAACAGATGGATTCCCAAAAGGTTTCAAACTCAGTTCCCTTAAGAAGAAAGTCTAATAGTTTTGAACTGGAAAATTTTCTATAAATTAAGAAATTTTCAAATGAGAGATTCTGTGGCGCAAATTATATGCTCCATCAAAAAGGCCATGAAGCTTCTGATATTTTGCAATAAATTTTACTACTACAAGACTGGTTGATCGTGCAGCATTTTGAAAAGATGCCTAGATAGACTTATGCCATTCAATTCTTTGATTCGTTACAGTCATCAAGTTTCATCTGTTGTTTCAGACTTTTGAAGCAGGAATCTTTATTCGAACTTGACAGATTGGGCTTTTAGATATCTTTGATAAAAAAACTGAGAGTTTTAAACTGTATGGCACAATCTGAGGTGATGAAGAAATACTTAGACCAGGAAAGATTATCGCTGTGTTGAAAGTCCACCAGCTTGCTGGCGGTATGGATTTGAATATGGGACTCTGGCACTAGTAAAAAAGTTATCCAATTTGACGATTGATGATTCTTGTCGTTTAGGAGAAAAGTTTCTACTGCGTTGGAAACGTTATGTTAATGAAGTTCAAATCTTTACCAGGTTTCTTGGCGATTTGATATCCATTAGAGTCCTAGTCTGGAATATTTCGTAATTTTATTAAATGATAATCAGCTGGCTAGCGATATGGATTTGAAAATCGGACTCTGTATAATGATATACAATTTGCCGACCACTTAATGTGTGGTATATTGGTCCAGGATTATGTCTTATTTTCAAGCAGTTAGAATATTTCTTTCATGCCCTTTGTCGTCCTCAGTGTAGATCTTATATAATCTTTCTGGGAAGTTTGTTATACTTAATTTGTTCATTCATAATCGAGACAGAGAAGGAAGATCTGAGAATGTTCATATTGTCAGAAAATGTTCCAAGAGTCAGTCGCATGTTCATTTTGAATATACTGTAGGTCTGAAATGAACTTAGTCTCGAGGGTTTGTGGATGTAGTAGTCAATATTGTCAGACGATAATCCATTTGTTTATAGTATCTTAAAGAGCAAAATTGGATTCAATTTCGGATATAAACCCGTAAATCATAATTTACATTGATAAAGTTAAAACGACCCAGGAATTATATCATCATTTCACTTCATTTAATTCATACTAACACCCAAAATTAACGAACCAAAATTCAAAAAGAACCTACTGTAACACAAAAAGTCCAAAAACACGACGTATTACCAAATAATTCTTTAATTCACATACAGAATGTTACCCAGTTACCTGATGCCCAACGACGCTTAGAGCTGTGTGAGAAAAGTTTTCGCCGTTCGTATGGTGAAAACTTTCAACGTTTGATAACCCTTAAAGGCAGTGCCTGTCCTGAAAAAGCCTTAATAATGCGTTTACATCTACTGCAAGGTGTAGTACACTTTCATCAGAATCGTCGCAATGAGGCTTATGAGAAATTTGCAATCGCCGAAACAGAGCTGGATTCTCTTAAAGTTGACGATTCTTTAGTGGCCGCCTTAGTTGAAATGGGCTATGAACCTTTTGAGGCACGCTTAGCTTTACGTTCATGTAGTGGCAATGTGGAACAGGCCATCAATTTTATACACGAAAGAAAAGAAAAATTAAAAGAGTCTCGTAAAAATTCCAAAAAAGAAAGACAAATTCATAAGAATTTATCGACGAAAATTGATAATGATAAAGACTGGGTTAATCCACGTAGTGTTTGCACTCTGATGGAAATGGGTTTCGAACGTGATGTAGTAGTGGAGTCCTTAAAACGTTGCAATAATGATGTGCCCAAAGCAGTAAGTTCAACATCTAGTTAAGAAAAAAAAAAAAAACAAATTATTTTTATTTAATTCTACACGGTTATGTTACAGTTGGATCTTTTACAATCTAGTGCCGAAGAATTAAGACACAACTTACCTCCTACAGCCTCGGCTGATGATGATATATTATCACAACTCAAGCAATTAGGTTTCAATGAGGAAATGGCTCGTGTTGCCTTGGAAACCACCGAAAATAGTTTGGACAATGCCATAGAGTTTCTAATGAAAATGTATGGCAATGAAACGGAATTGGTGGCTGCCATGGATCGCATGACTGCGGCAGCTGCCTCTGCAGCGGCTAATATAGACTACGGAGGACCTTCTACATCTTCCGGTGCCAGCTCTTTGATTACAAAAGCTTTGGATAAGGCTCAAAAGGAAATGGAATCTTTGAAGGCCTATAATAGATTCACGGAAGAAATAACTGACAACGAACATGACTATTTGGATTTACCTTTAGTACAAGAAGAACAATTTCTCGCCGAATATAAACGTTTACTAGAACAGTAATATGTTTGTATTTTTTAACTTTTTTGTTTCCTTTTTAACTTCTTTTTTTTTTATTAAGTTTAAAAACATGTCTTGCTTATTGAGTTTTATTGTTGAAATTGTTTTAAAAACTTCCTTTATTTTACTAACATAATTTTCTTCTTGTTTTATATAAATATAAACCAGTTGGAAATTTCACTTTAAATCGTACTTTAACAATAGCGAAACCAAATCTTTAAGATTGCTTTAGACGGATTTTGTTGCCCGTTTAGTCAAATTTCCAAACGGTTATGTTTATGTTACTAATTGGCCAATTTTTTTATCTAGATTTAGTGTTTTATTAACAAAAAAATCCAAATTTTTGAGAAATAAATTTAACTTTTTATATGACTGTTTAATAAAAGTTTAGATTTTATTTAATATTCGAAACTAGGGCCACTGAGTTATAGCAATTCCACTGAAGATCTGCAGAACATTATTCTTATTGGAATAACTTCAGGAAATTGTTCTTTAATGGTTAACTTTCAAAGTTGTAAATCGTTAACTACAGTCAAATGGATCTCTCCTCTCTTCCTGCCTAAATTTCTCATACATAGATGTTCCTCATATTCAGAAGTTTTCATAGTTATGTATATATCAGATGATTTTTTAAGTCTTCTTTGTGTATGTAGTTCATTTGACAAGAATCATAGGACCATCATAGTCTTCTATATTCCGCTATTAGATTCCGTAGCTAAACTTTCTTTGAGATAAATGGATTAGAAAGAGGTTTAGTTAATCATTGCGTCCACATTTGGTCTCTACCCAAGTCATTTGGTTAAATCAACGAAAGTATTTATTGTTATGTCTACCTCAGACAGTTTTCGCTCTTCGTTCGTTATATGCTCCTTTCCTTTGCGGTATCATAGGCCTGAAATGTCCCATTAATTCCAAATGACATAATCGGAAATAACTTAACAAATTCCTCTGTAATATTGGTATCTTCTCTTTATGTCGACCAATAGTATCAAACCCTAAAACTTTAGAAACAACTCTCTAGAACTTTTCACATTATTATTAGCTCATAATGAAGTAATATATAAAATAATAGTAGGATTTACATAAAAATTGATAATAACACTATTATTTTATATTTATACGCTTTTCAGACGTCGCATTTGCGGGCTATGAACTTGTACATTGAACTTGTCACTTTTTTTTTTAATTGCTTTTTAAACTATTTTAAATGTTTTATTATTTTTTTTTTAAATAATCGTTCACAAGTGCCATACAATTTAGCATACACAATAATTTACCAATGTTGAAAGTTCTGAGGGTTCTGAAAACAACTGGTGGACAACACAAAAACTAATTATTTGGTGGGTACTTTTAAATAAATATATAAATTTCACACTCGACTGACGGACTGCTAAAAATGAAAAAAAAAAAAACAAATTCCAATATAAAATAAACAATAATTAAAAATACTAAATAATTATTAAAAAAGAAGAATAAAAATAGACAAAATAATTATAAATTTGCGTCTGTAAATTATTTTGTTTTTGCAAAAAGCACATAAATTAATCATATATTTGTTTCAATAAAAACAATAACAAAAAAAGATGTTTCAAACATCTTTAAAAACTAATATTTCCGGATTTTAAACTACTAAAGAAATTAGTGACATTAAGGAATTTTGTAGATAGAAGTTGAATTTCTTCGGGAACCCAGAACTAGAACTGAACTAAAACTGAACTAGAACTGATCTAGAACTGAACTAGAACTGAACTAGAACTGAACTAGAACGAACTAGAACTGAACTAGAACTGAACTAGAACTGAACTAGAACTGAACTAGAAACTGAACTAGAACTGAACTAGAACTGAACTAGAACTGAACTAGAACTGAACTAGAACTGAACTAGAACTGAACTAGAACTGACTAGAAACTGAACTAGAACTGAACTAGAACTGAACTAGAACTGAACTAGAACTGAACTAGAACTGAACTAGAACTGAACTAGAACTGAACTAGAACTGAACTAGAACTGAACTAGAACTGAACTAGAACGGAACTAGAACTGAACTAGAACTGAACTAGAACTGAACTAGAACTGAACTAGAACTGAACTAGAACTGAACTAGAACTGAACTAGAACTGAACTAGAACTGAACTAGAACTGAACTAGAACTGAACTAGAACTGAACTAGAACTGAACTAGAACTGAACTAGAACTGAACTAGAACTGAACTAGAACTGAACTAGAACTGAACTAGTACTGAACTAGAACTGAACTAGAACTGAACTAGAACTGAACTAGAACTGAACTAGAACTGAACTAGAACTGAACTAGAACTGAACTAGAACTGAACTAGAACTGAACTAGAACTGAACTAGAACTGAACTAGAACTGAACTAGAACTGAACTAGAACTGAACTAGAACTGAACTAGAACTGAACTAGAACTGAACTAGAACTGAACTAGAACTGAACTAGAACTGAACTAGAACTGAACTAGAACTAGAACTGAACTAGAACTGAACTAGATCTGAACTAGAACTGAACTAGAACTGAACTAGAACTGAACTAGATCTGAACTAGAACTGAACTAGAACTGAACTAGAACTGAACTAGAACTGAACTAGAACTGAACTAGAACTGAACTAGAACTGAACTAGAACTGAACTAGAACTGAACTAGAACTGAACTAGAACTGAACTAGAACTGAACTAGAACTGAACTAGAACTGAACTAGAACTGAACTAGAACTGAACTAGAATTGAACTAGAACTGAACTAGAACTGAACTAGAACTGAACTAGAACTGAACTAGAACTGAACTAGAACTGAACTAGAACTGAACTAGAAGTGAACTAGAACGGAACTAGAACTGAACTAGAACTGAACTAGAACTGAACTAGAACTGAACTAGAACTGAACTAGAACTGAACTAGAACTGAACTAGAACTGAACTAGAACTGAACTAGAACTGAACTAGAACTGAACTAGAACTGAACTAGAACTGAACTAGAACTGAACTAGAACTGAACTAGAACTGAACTAGAACTGAACTAGAACTGAACTAGAACTGAACTAGAACTGAACTATGAACTGAACTAAGAACTGAACTAGAACTGAACTAGAACTGAACTAGAACTGAACTAGAACTAGAACTAGAACTGAACTAGAACTGAACTAGAACTGAACTAGAACTGAACTAGAACTAGAACTAGAACTGAACTAGAACTGACTAGAACTGAACTAGAACTGAACTAGAACTGAACTAGAACTGAACTAGAACTGAACTAGAACTGAACTAGAACTGAACTAGAACTGAACTAGAAATGAACTAGAACTGAACTAGAACTGAACTAGAACTGAACTAGAACTGAACTAGAACTGAACTAGAACTAGAACTGAACTAGAACTGAACTAGAACTAGAACTGAACTAGAACTAATAGAACTGAACTAGAACTGACTAGAACTGAACTAGAACTGAACTAGAACTGAACTAGAACTGAACTAGAACTGAACTAGAACTGAACTAGAACTGAACTAGAACTGAACTAGAACTGAACTAGAACTGAACTAGAACTGAACTAGAACTGAACTAGAACTGAACTAGAACTGAACTAGAACTGAACTAGAACTGAACTAGAACTGAACTAGAACTGAACTAGAACTGAACTAGAACTGAACTAGAACTGAACTAGAACTGAACTAGAACTGAACTAGAACTGAACTAGAACTGAACTAGAACTGAACTAGAACTGAACTAGAACTGAACTAGAACTGAACTAGAACTGAACTAGAACTGAACTAGAACTGAACTAAACTGAACTAGAACTGAATTAGAACTGAACTAGAACTGAACTAGAACTGAACTAGAACTGAACTAGAACTGAACTAGAACTGAACTAGAACTGAACTAGAACTGAACTAGAACTGAACTAGAACTGAACTAGAACTGAACTAGAACTGAACTAGAACTGAACTAGAACTGAACTAGAACTGAACTAGAACTGACCTAGAACTGAACTAGAACTGAACTAGAACTAAACTAGAACTGAACTAGAACTGAACTCGAACTGAACTCGAACTGAACTAGAACTGAACTAGAACTGAACTAGAACTGAACTAGAACTGAACTAGAACTGAACTAGAACTGAACTAGAACTGAACTAGAACTGAACTAGAACTGAACTAGAATTGAACTAGAACTGAACTAGAACTGAACTAGAACTAGAACTGAACTAGAACTGAACTAGAACTAAACTGGAACTGAACTAGAACTGAACTCGAACTGAACTAGAACTGAACTAGAACTGAACTAGAACTGAACTAGAACTGAACTAGAACTGAACTAGAACTGAACTAGAACTGAACTAGAACTGAACTAGAACTGAACTAGAACTAGAACTGAACTAGAACTGAACTAGAATTGAACTAGAACTGAACTAGAACTGAACTAGAACTGAACTAGAACTGAACTAGAATTGAACTAGAACTGAACTAGAACTGAACTAGAACTGAACTAGAACTGAACTAGAACTGAACTAGAACTGAACTAGAACTGAAATAGAACTGAACTAGAACTGAACTAGAACTGAACTAGAACTGAACTAGAACTGAACTAGAACTGAACTAGAACTGAACTAGAACTGAACTAGAACTGAACTAGAACTAGAACTGAACTAGAACTGAACTAGAACTGAACTAGAACTGAACTAGAACTGAACTAGAACTGAACTAGAACTGAACTAGAACTGAACTAGAACTGAACTAGAACTGAACTAGAACTGAACTAGAACTGAACTAGAACTGAACTAGAACTGAACTAGAACTGAACTAGAACTGAACTAGAACTGAACTAGAACTGAACTAGAACTGAACTAGAACTGAACTAGAACTGAACTAGAACTGAACTAGAACTGAACTAGAACTGAACTAGAACTGAACTAGAACTGAACTAGAACTGAACTAGAACTGAACTAGAACTGAACTAGAACTGAACTAGAAATGAACTAGAACTGAACTAGAACTGAACTAGAACTGAACTAGAACTGAACTAGAACTGAATTAGAACTGAACTAGAACTGAACTGGAAGTAAACGATACTTATGCAGTGCGTGGACATAAATGCTTCGGCTAGGATCTTCTGAGACAAGCCGCATGCGGAAAAGATTGTCTACATTGACAGTTGTTCCTAGCTACATCCAAAAGAACTGTGGCACATGGACAACTTGCGGTAAGGAGACCCTAGAAGTCCTCCTTGACGCCCATTTTCCTTGAAACTCGCCTCTCATGGGGGAGCTCTCCGGTGAACTCTCTGATACGCGCATGGAGTCATACAATCTCATTAATGAGGATAAGCTGAAATGGGCTCTCGAGAGTTTTGACCCGTATAAATTACCGGGTCCTGAT